CACTCTTAAGTCATAAATCACCTCCCGAAGCTAACTGAACCATCGAAACTCACATCCGAGCTTTCTAACACATAAGTCAACATCTAGTTGACTTTTCCAACTTAAACCTTCTTAAAAGAGACTAAGTGTCTCATTTCTTACCAAATCCACCCCGAACGCAAATTAATCAACTCGATCACATAAAATGCGGATAACGAAGCACAAAGAAGAAGAAATGGGAGAAACGGAGCGGTAACTCATGAGACGACTGGTCGGGTCATCACAGAAAAGATGGCAGCATTCTCGACCGTCGTGATCAAGAGTCAAGACTACAGTTATTGGGAGTGAAAAACATTGGTATCTGCAGCAATACAAAATGAGAAAAAGAAAAGAAAAAGTGTCACGACCCTAACCCCGAACCCGGTCGTGACGACGCCTCTCGTGAAGACAAAGCCAGCCAGACCAAAATAGAACACCTCTTTTAAAAAGGTAAATACCATATATAGTCCTAAAACATGATATAATAACAATAATTTGCGGAAGTAACGATAACAGTAGTAGAAACCATCCCGTCACAGCCCAAACCGGGGTATCATAAGTCATGAGCAACTAAGAAATTCGGATACAAGTCTACTGAACATAAATTATAGTTCTAAAAACATGAAAATGATAAGATAAGGGAGGCACGGGGCTGCGGACGCCAACAGCTACCTCGTGGTCTCCGAAAATACTGCCTGGACTGGGAGGATCAACACTCAGGAGTGGACTCTGAGATGCCTGAATCTGCACACACGGTGCAGAGAGTAATGTGAGTACTCCGACTCAGTGAGTAATAATCATAAATAATGGCTGAAAGCAAGAAAACACGTAAATGCACAAAACAATTCTATATCAAGTAGTAAAAATCACTTAAAGTAGTAAATCAGTGAAGGCGGCAAGTGAAATCTCTTTAAATCAGGTAAAACCGTAATTTAGCAGGTAAATAACAAGCAAAAATTCATCCCTCGAACACAGTGTCAATCACTTAGAACAGTATCAGCTCCTCGGCTCACTCTCATCACTTGGTGCTCATTCTCAGCTCTCGACCCATATATCTCTCATAATAACAGAAATCAGAATAACCGTTGCGGCGTGCAGTCCGATCCGTACATCGCTGCGGCGTGCAGCCCGATCCATAAAGATGTTGACTGCACTCACTGGGGGTGTGCAGACTCCGGAGGGCTCCTACAGCCCAAGCGCTATATTGTTGCGGCGTGAAGCCCGATCCATATAAGTATTATTGTGGCGTATAGCCCGATCCATAACATATATAATATCCTCACCATTGGGTTCTCAACCCTTCTCAGTCATTAACCTCACAGCCTCTCGGGCACAATAATAGAAGATAGGGATCTCAGGCCACAAATTCTTCTCATTTAGGAATAGTATGACAAAACCGGCTCGAATCGTTTAAAACAGAGAGAGAAACATGACTGAGGATACGATTTTTAACAAGTATAGTGAGGAAAATCAGTCAAAATTCCCGAAAGGTTCAAATAGTTGGCACGAAACCCAAATATGACAATTAGCCCCAAATCATGATGATAACAAATAAGTTTCAGTCAAATACGCGGTAAAATTATCAGTCGGGACGGACCAAGTCTCAATCCCCATTAGTAAAAGACCCCACGCTCATCATCGAGCGTGTGTCTCACCTCAATATAGCACTACGATGTGTAATTCGGGGTTTCAAACCCTCAGAGCATCATTTACAATCATTACTCACCTCGAACCGGCTAATTCTCTAGCTCGCGACGCCTTTGCCCCTCGAATTGGCCTCCACGTGCGTCGAATCTATCCAAAATCAGAATGAATACGTCACAATATGCTAAGGGAACAAAGCCCAAGCGAAAACATTCGAAAAATATCAAAAATCCTGAAATTAGCGAAACTTGAACCCCGGGGCCACGTTTCGGAATCGGGTAAAATTTACATTTTCAGAATCCTCATACCCTCACGAGTCCCTACCAAAATTATCCAATTTCGATATCATTTGGTCTTTCAAATTATCATTCAATATTTTTGAAAGGTTCACAATTTTCTTCCCAAATTCCATCCCAAATCATGAATTAAATGATGAATTCAATGATAGATTCGTGTACTCTAGCCAAATCTGAGTTAGAATCACTTACCCCGATAAATTTCTTGAAAAATCTTCGAAAAATCACCAAAATCCGAGCTCTCTAGGTCAAAATATCAACATTCGGTTGACTTTTCCAACTTAAGCCTTCTTAAAAGAGACTAAGTGTCTCATTTCTTACCAAAATCACACCAAACGCAAACCAATCAACTCGACCACATAAAACACGGATAACGCAGCATAAAGAAGCAGAAATGGGGGAAACGGAGCGGTAACTCATGAGACGACTAACCGGGTCGTCACAAAAAGCCTTGTACACTTCTTGCCGTATCATATCCCAACAATTTTGAAAGAAACAATTTCACAACCGAGACAAATTTAAGCTAGCGTTTGACCATAAATTTTCAAATTTGTTTTGAAAAATCTGATTTGGATGAAGTTTGGTTGGAAGATGAAAATGTGTTTGGACATCAATTTTCAAAACATATTTCACTTTTTTTTTTGAAAATACATGTAACATGTCTTATACCCACAAGTTCTAAAAATTATCACAAATATCCAACAGTACATTCATTAATAACATTCATTATATTATCCCAAACCATAATCCTGAACATAAATAAATTTGGTACAAAATTATTATTTTTATAATGAACTACATAATACACTATCAGATGACCAAGAAGACGAAGCAACAACGTTACAAAATAATAAATGGTGGGCTCTTTTATAAAATACAAAGTTTGGGGCAATTTTAAAAAATACAATAGTAATATTTTGGGCCAATAAGCTGGTTTTGAGATTTGGATTTTAGGAATTTGCTAAAATGTGGATAAAATTTATGAATAAATATGTATTTGCCAAAAAAAATTTAAATATATTTTGGCAAAATTTATAACCAAATAGGTCCTAAATTTGAAACTTATGAGTTTAAAATTTGAGCCGGAAAAGAAAGCTTGTGTAGGCTTCTAGCCAGAGCTTGTTCTTATCAAGCTCACTGTACTAAAAGCAACCAGAAAAAGAAAGAAAATAAAGCCTTTCGGTTTTAATTTTATAAAAATTCTCAAAAGCATAAAGATAATTTCAAAAGGTATTTTTATTTTTGACAATCAATTATATTTTATTACAAAGTTGAAACATTCAAAGATAAACGTTCACAAGGACTAACAAACATTGAGAATATGGCTAAAAAAATAAAAAATATGTCTTTCCAATACTTCAATTTCTTGATGAAATGATCAAACAATTTAACATGATTTTTATAAGTTTTTTAAATTTATTGGATTTAAGGTCATAAATTTATTTGGATTATATTTCAAATACAAGATATATTAGTTTAAATAAATATTTTGTGCCAATATAATCATATTAATTATTTAAATTTAATGATTTAAGTATGGATTTAATAAATAGGTCTAAATGCATTGGAATAACCCATTTAATTGAACTATAAATAATAAGCTCACTTTGTTAAGCCCAAAATATCATCTTATCCAAGATGCACATTTGGTGACACGTATCAAATTGACACGTATCAAATGATGTGTCACATCAAATCAAATGGAAAAAACCAAAGATCATGCCATATGTCAAAATGAGCCACATGTCAAAATGATAAGGCACACCAAGTCAAATACTAATAGAAATGCGCCACGTGTACAATCGAAATATTTTGACCAATCAAATGTGATCTTGTCAATATTTCAATTTGACTGGTCAATGATTCAAGTCAACCAATCAAATCAAATCAATTTAACTTTTTCCTCCTAAAATTAAAAATAGGGTTTTTTATAACTTAGGACCAAAAATAATACTCCCTTCGTTCCAGTTTATGTGAACCTATTTTTTTTTGTCTGTTTCAAAAAGAATGATCCTTTCTAAATTTGGAAACAATTTAGCTTAAACTTGCAATTCTACCTTTAATGAGAAGCTTTTATAACCGCACAAATACTCTGGGCCCCTTTTTAACTTGTTTAAGACCACAAATTCCAAAAGTCTTTATTTTTCCTTAAACTCCATGCCCAGTCAAACATGTTCATATAAATTGGAACGGGGGAGTAGTAAGTAACAAGAAGCAAAATAGAACTCATGGATATGTAAATTTTTTACAAGCTTCATGCAATCAAGTTTAAGCTCAAGAACGAAGAACAAATCAAGATTCAATGAGTACGAGTTCAAATCATCAGTTCGTGCTAGTTGAATTGAAGATCATCATTTGTGCAATAGTACAAAATTCAAGATCAAGCACAAAGACCCTTGAATTTATCTTAGAAAAGAAAAATAAGAGAATCATAGAGATTGTAGAACTCATATTATTTGAAATAAAATATTATGATTATTGTAATATTTTATTTTAATCCTAATTATTTTCTTAATGCAAATTTTATTAAGGTTGCCATATGCCCTAGATTCAATTCTCGTTGTCATTCATTTTAGAATTTTTTGTCGACTTTTACTCCTCGAGAAAAAACTTTTTCAAAAGTTATTCCAACGGATACAACTTCTTTGAGAAAGAATTTCCAGAAACTGATTTTCCAAAAGCTTAATCAAAATGAATTTAAACGCCACCCACACAATAACAAAAATAGGAAAAATCCAAAGAGAAAACGGAGTCACACAAACGGCGTACGCAAACCCCCGTAAGTGCCACGTCGGAGAGGGGACAAAGACGAGGGCCCTACTTTGCGTTTCCACTATGTACTTATCATCCAGAAGAACAAGTGACAAATTAATACTAATAATAAGTACATTTATTTGGACGTTTATACGCTCTAATTATTCTATACATACAGACCCTTTTATATGTATAGGCGTGTCTTCAGTATATATATAGCGCCAACCTTCAACCACTTCATCATATTCATATCTATCTACTCTTCACCTTTAATTCCCCCTTTTTTAGCTCTGTTTCACCTTTGCTTCTAAACACAAAGGATTCTTAGCTTTCTCCTTCTTAACACTCAAATCTTTTTCCTTTATCTCTGTTGGCAAAACAAGACTGTATCTTTCTTATTGGAAAACGTTCTTGATACAAATACACTATTTGGGTATGTATCTTTTTTTCATTCTTTGAATCTCTCTCTATCTGTTTCTTTAAGTTTTTATTGATGTAGTTGAGAAAGGGTATAGCTCCTCTATATTTGTAAAGATTTGAGGCAAAGTTTGGATGTTTCTTATTGAGAGTTTAGATCTTTATGTTTTAAAGTACAAATATCATGTTTTTGCTGTTCTTGTTAATGAGGTTTGTCGTTTTTCTCCTTTCTGTTGGGGTCGGTGGTGGATTTTATGATTATTCACTGTGATTTTGGATGAACGTGAAATCAACTTTCTTGGAATATAATAAAAGCTTTTGTATAGAAATATAAGTTGGAATGATAAATTTGGCTATATTATATAGAAACAATAAACATATAGGGCACCTAGTATTGAATTTTTGAAGAAGAGATTGCGAAATCAGATTAGGCCGTTTCTGGTAAGCTGATGACTGTTATCAATGATCAACTAGTAATATGAGATAAGAGACTCAAACATCAGAGGAGGCTTATAATTTTTCTTTTCCTTTTTTCTTTTTAGCTTATAGTTTTAGTTCCTGAATGAGAGTCTTGTGGATTGCGTACATTCATACCCTTGATAGCATAGAATCAAAGTTAAATTTAATTCTTCTTGGTAGAACAAGATTATGCCACGAAGCTATTCCTCAGCAACCCATATTTGTAGAGTCTGTGGACAATAAGAAAGATTTTATAACTCCTTTTAAGGTTTTCATAATAAATGCAGTACTTTGCTTTCTTTGATAAAGCTTATCCCAAAGGTTGTTTTACCTATTAAATTTGGATTGGCCTGTTTGTTGGATGGTTGATAGGATACACATATTCTAAAAGCTCTAGTTAGATTTATATTAAATGTTGTTGGCAGGGGCGGATTTAGGGGCGTAAGACCCTTCGCCGAAAAATTACACTGTATATATAAGGCAAAATTTATTTTTTATCTCTACATATTAAGTTTTGAACACCTTTAACACAATCCAAAAGTGTAGTTTAGTGGTAAGGGTGTTCAAAATCTACATAAGGTCATGATGGGTTCAATTCCCACTAGCTACAAAAAAAAATTTTGAACCCCCACTTTTTTCTTCAAACTTCTTTCCAGCTAGCAAATTTCTTGATATTTGACTTCTCTTTTTTTTTTTTTCTTTCCCAAGAACAAATTTAGGACCCCATAGATTTTAGTTGCTTGTTTTGAAAAAACATTTGAAAACAATGTTTTTTCATGGAATATGATCACTTTTTGAAAATAAAATCAATTTTTTTTCAAGTTCCCAAAAACTGCCTAAACCAGTTTTTGGGTGAAAATTTTACTTTCACTCACAAAATTTTAATTTTTTTTTTTACAAATAAAATGTATGTCCAAACACAACTTTAACTTCCAAAAATTATTTTTCAACGCAACATAAAAAACTCATTTTTTCAAGTTTCTACCGAATCTATTATGTCTAAACGCTAGCTTAAATACTTGGGAAGAAATTAGGCTATTTCAAGAATTTCCACAGTTCCTAAATATTTGTATGAAGTTGTTGTCCTTTGAGAAACTGATTTTCTCCTCGTATAATATTTGGAATTTTATGATAGCTGATGTATATGTCTTTTGGATAAAACCAATAGGTAGTTTATCGTTGTGAGAAACTAGTGCTACATCTTATTGACAATGCGCTTCATCTTAATCTAGACTAGAACAAATAATGGGGCCTATAGTCTTGAAATTTATTACTATGTCGTGTACCTTTAGTATTGCGTAGGGCCTTTAATTTTGTCCTTGCACCTTTAAATTGTTTGGCACCAACCTTGAGATTTAACATGCAGTTGTTTCTGGTACTAGTTCTTAGTGTTAATGAATTTCAAGTCTTGTTTTTTGTATTGAGATCTTCTTTAGCCGAGGGTATATCGGAAACTAACCTCTCTGCATTTATAGGATAGGGGTAAGTGCTACACACTACCCTCCCCAAACCCCGCGTATGGGATTAAGCTAGGTTTGTTGTTGTTGTTGTTTTTTGTAATGGGATTCTTGAATTTGTTTTTTACAGGCATTAGAAGCCAACTTTGTTACATCAAGAAGCAGGATATGGCCTTAGAACAGCTCGACACTACCTTTGGCAAACACGATAGTCCATTAGGGAAGTGGAAGGCGATGAACGATGAAGTTCAAGACAATGTTTCCGGTGGTTTTGAGTGTAACATATGCCTGGATCTCGTGCACGATCCTGTGGTAACTTTATGTGGTCACCTCTACTGCTGGCCTTGTATTTACAAATGGATTCATTTCCAGACTGATTCTTCAGAAAATTCAGATCAGCAACAGCCACAATGCCCTGTTTGCAAATCTGAAGTTTCACAAAAAACATTGATTCCACTCTATGGGCGCGGCCAATCTACAAAATCATCTGATGGAAAGGCTCCAAATCTTGGTATTGTCATTCCACAAAGGCCTCCTACTCCTAGATGTGGCGATCACACGCTGATATCAACCACTGATTCAAATCAATCCCAGTTACTTCAACGACGACAACAGTCTCAAACGCATCNACAACCACTGATTCAAATCAATCCCAGCTACTTCAACGACGACAACAGCAACAGTCTCAAATGCGTCAACCTTATCAAGGAAGTTACATGGCCTCACCTATTCTTAGCCCTGGTGGCACCACAGCTAATATGTTACACCCGATTATTGGAGAAGTGGCTTATGCTAGGATTTTTGGGAACTCATCTACAACTTTGTATACATATCCGAACTCTTATAATGTAGCCGCGAGCAGTAGTCCAAGATTGAGAAGGCAACTATTACAGGCCGATAGATCACTTGGCAGAATATGTTTTTTCCTCTTTTGTTGCTTTATCACATGTTTAATCTTGTTCTGAACGATTTGTCCTCCTATTTTGCTTGTACTTGTATAAAAAGATTTGGTGCTGTAGTCTGTAGTAGATAAGAAAATGTACAGCCTCGGCCAAAAATCATAGAAACTATTGCATCTTGATTGATGTTATTACACTTGGAATAAAGTGTGTGTAAACGTGTAAGGAGCTTGAAGATTTTAACCCTTTTTGATATAATAAGAAAAGAGGTTGAAAATTTTCATGCACTATGGTCATGGGCGAGCTAGCAGGCGGAAGTTCGAACTACTTTCACCAAAAATTTATGCTATGTATAAAAGGTCATTTTTAAGAAAGTTCATTCAACAACTTCTTCGCGTGTTTATTATTTATTTTTTAAATCCTCGCCTCCGCCACCGCCACTGATTATGGTGCATACCTCTTTTTCCAAATGCGAGTGTCTTGTTTTTAGAGTTACTACTCAATAGAAGCAGTGGCTGTTATCAACCTCCCC